ATGCAACACAACCCCATGGAAAGACCAGCATTGTCAACTTACCTAGACCCCAGGGAGCTCTCAGAGACTGAGCCACAAACCAGGAGCATACATGGCCTGGTCTGAGGCCCCTGGCACATATATACAGCAGAGGTCTGCCTGGTCAGGCCTTAGTAGGAGAAGATGCACTTAATCCTCGACTGGAATATAAATAAATAAAATAATAAAAATTGGAAAAAGAAAGAAAGAAAAGAAAGATGGGCATTACCTGAGAGGCAATGTCTCTACAGAAGAAATGTAACACAGCCTATTCAGACGGGCATGGCGGAGAAAGGCAAGCCATGAATGCCTGTGCTTCACACTTGTATATAAAGCTAATGCCAGGATTCTGGTCACATCTGCATCTACTGTCAGAACCACAAAACCAAAAGTTATAATGTGATGATAACATATTGGGTTTGCATGTGGAAGAGAGTCACATGTCTCTAAAGAGTTGAAAATGTATTCATAAGCCAGAGCAACTTATACCAAGTACAGATGGATCCAGTTGGAAGAGAGCCCTGGGGTTGCTCTGAGCTAAAATGTCCTTTCCCATCTTACCCTAAAGATGAACTCAAGGGCCAACTAGAGTCCTTTAGGAGCCCACAAGGCTGAGTATATCCTGGGGTCCCCAGGCTTACATCCTATCTTCCTGCTATGAGACTCCCCCATTACTCACCTTGGGGATCAGGGCTCTCATAAATTCTGATACCAACAGAGTTCAGACCACCTTTGGGGTCAGTCCATGAACACTCACTCACTCATGGAGAGCAAGGTTACCACATCCAGCCTTGCTGGAGCCCATGCTGGGAGGATCTGACCATACACACCAACAGCAGACCAACCTGAAGGTGAAATTCCTGACTCCCCACCATTAGTCTGGGTTATAATTCAGCTAAGTTTACAAATGAGAAATAACTGTCTGTTCTCTATTCCATCTCTCCATCTAACTAACACCCCCATGTCTAAACCCCCAGCTCCTACTTTGTTCCAAACCCATTCTCTCTCCTCACCCACTAAGGCCCAGAAATCAGAGCTGGGATCACTCAATCTGTCAATAGGCTAAGAGTGCCCTGAACTACTATCCATACGACTCAATTTGTCAGTAAAAACTGCCACCAGCACTGTGCTTGCAGAAAAATGTCCATAAATGCATTATTGCAACTGGCAGATCGATGTCTATAATAAAAACAAATAGATTTAACAAGTGCCTGCTTTTATGAGCCATGCCATTGGTGGACTGGACATTTGGTTGTCACCCCCAGACTTCTGGGAATGGGCCCCAGAGCTGAGCTGGATGTGGGGCTGACTTCACAAGTGTTATGGGTAGGAAATTGTTCTAACAAGAAAATTTTAGCAGCAGAGTGGACACACCAGGCACTTACTGCTCTCTCGCTGTTCCTTTTGTGGTTATACGCGACAACAAATAAAAGCCATAAGATGTTTCTATACAATTTCTTAACTGGTCCTACTTGTACATTGAAAACAAAAAAATGATTTCACTCCAACTGGGAGTGCAGAAAACAAGTTTTAACCACCAACAAGAGTGTCACCACTGTGTCTATGGCCCCAGGAGAGAGCCTGTCTATTTGGTTGCTTTGCTGGGGCAGACCCTGGAGCAAGGTGTAGGAGGCTGGCCTAACCCAGAAATGCCTGGTATCATGGTAGACCCAGCCTGTCATGCCTCCCCCTGCCCCCCCACACACACACATGGAAACCACATCTGTCAAGGCACTGTTTCCTTCAAGGTCACAGAAAGTCATCAGAGGATTTAGTTCCCTCCTTAAGGCAAATCATTTTAACAGCTACAGAAAGGAGTAAGTCCCTCACTATGTTCCACGTATTCATTACATAGCCTTCCCCAAACCACACGGCCCTCCTCAGTGAGCCCTTTATTACTACTAATGTTTAAGTCAGAGAGCTTGACTATTGCCACTGGTCAATGGCTAGCCAAGGACACACACCAGACCATATTTAGGCCACAATGCTGAGTCTCCAACTTTTATCTATCTATGCCCAACACAGGACTCCACAGCAAACAGAACAAGAAAATCCATCCTGTCAACCATGGCAGATCCAGCCTCTGGCAAGACTCTGACCCACTCCCTCCTAGATGAATCCTGTCGTGTTCACTTCAGATCCAGAACTGGTGTAGGCCAGTTTGTTTATCAGTGTCTGTGGGTGGGCTGACAGAGGCCACTCTGCTCAGATGAATTGAATGCTGGTCTATAGGTGTCTGGTTTGAACCTTCGGGTTTTATTTAAACAACAGCCTACAGTCAGACAGCAAATGTCTTCAGTAAGAACTCTGGCAAAGCTAGTCACACACCAAAATATGGCCAGGCACACCTACGGTAGCAGCCAACCCAGGGTCCTCCAGAGTCTGAGGTGTTTGTGTGTAATATATACTCAAAGTGGATATACAGGAAGCACTTAACACCATGGTAGGGCATTGGCAGGGTCACAATGACACGTGAAGAGACACGACTATCTCCAACTTTCATACCCAACTTTTTGTACTCTCCCATGATACAAAGCATTATGGTCTTAGTAGACACCATGCCTGCTTTGAACTTTGACCTTTTTCCGGGCTGATGGCCTGTGATCCTTCTAGGCAAGAGACAACATAGACATAAGTAGATCCATCCAACTTGTGCCCCACAGGCCACATGTGGCTGAGGATAGCCACAAATGTGGCCCAACAAAAGATTACAAACTTATTAAAATATTATGAAATTTTTGTGGGTTTTTTTTTTTTTGGAACTCAAGTGTGAACTTTATAGCTAACAGCATGATGCATGTCAAAACGTTGGGTGGCATGCAAGTCTGGAGCACGGTTTACTATGCTCAGGGAGTCAGATATGTTAAATGTCTTTTTTTCTGGAAACATATTAACATACAGTGTTTTCAGCTTACTCAGGGGTAGGGGTTAATCATATCCCAAGCACAAGAATATGTGAGTGGTCCTGTGAAAAGGAGAAAAAGGAATCCAGACAACTGTTACGTTTTCGTCACTTCCTATCAAAACTAACATTTAAGAAAGGGACAGACAAGGAGAGGTCTTGATGGCCTGACCCTTAGATCCTAAACATTTGTACTCTTTAAAATAAGAATGGTTAGGACAACTTAAGTGGGTTGTTCGGTTGCTTGGATGGTTGTATTTTGTAGCTAGAGTTTCATCCTGGCTCAAAGGAGCCTAGAATGACTACATTGCCCTTCTTGGCAATCCTCCTGACTCAGCCTCTTAAGTACTGGGATTACATGTGTGAGCCACCACACTTAGTTTGCATCTAATAAAAAAAATGCTGTGAAGGGTACAGTGTTGGAGTCTCCCGAGAAAGGAAGGGAAGCATTTCTGGTGTCCTCCCTGCCCCTGTGTTCCTGCATCAGTGAAAAGGAGGCCCTGACAGACTGTCCTGGTGCCTCGGTCATTTTTTGGGGGTTGGGGGATGGGTGGGTGATCAACTTGACACAAGCTCAGCTTAGGTCATCTAAGAAGAGGGAACTTCAACTGAGAAAACTCCTCCATCAGATTGGTCTGAGAGCATACCCCTGCTGTATTTTCTTCACTGGTTGACTGCTGTGGAAAGGGCCAGCTCACTATGGCTGCCCTGGGCACATGGTCCTGGGGTGTATAAGAAATCAGGCTGAGTAAGTCATGAGGAGCAAGCCAATAAACAACATTCCTCCACAGTCTTTGCCTCAGTTCCTGCCTCCAGGTTCCTTCCCTTCTTGACTTCCTGCCCTGCCTTCCCTTCATGGTGAACTGTTATCAGGACATGTAAGCCAAATAAACCCTCCCCTCCCCAAGATTCTTTAGTCATGGTGTTTTATCGAAGCCAGAGAAAACTAAGCCAATGACACTCCTGGGCAGGCAGGCCCAGTGAGGGGAGGGGTAGAGACAGGCCCAGATGGGGCCCCCTGATTTAGAACAGGATCCAAAGATTGGTGCCATTTGCTCTCCACAGAAAGAAGGTGGTTGTGCAAGACACAGCCAGCTTACCACTGCACCTGAAGCTCCGCTTCTTAAACCTTGGTAACAGCAGAAACCTCTTCAAAGACATGCCACATATTAGTCCAACCGTTATTAGGACAGATTTTTCCCTCAAATTGAAAAAAATAAATACTCCCACAGATCCTTCGGTAAGGCACTATTTCACTGCCAAACTATGTGAAGACCCAGAGAGTGGCCAGGAAGGGATGAAGCCTCAGGCGGGGCATTAGTTCAGGACCATTCTGTCCTGCCACTTTCAGGTTCTAGGTCCTGGTAGATGATCAGATAATACACCTAAGCTTACAGAATACTGACCAGAAGCCAGGCTTTTCATACCCCCCACAACCAGCACCCTAAGATAAGTGTTGTGGATACCAAGAGTCACATGAAGACAGGGAAGTGAAATGAAGAGTAGGTCTAACACTGACTCTGCATATTTTTTCACAAGCTCCTTCCTGTGTCCAGCGAGGAGTAAAACTTACAGAACAAAACCCCAGACCCACTGAACAATGAGTGCATGTACTGTTCACACTTTGAGGTTTTAACTAGGTGTACCTAACACCAGCCATGATGTTGCAGGATCCTGGGACTTGGCTATTTTCTCCTACTCTCAAGAAAGAAGGAGCTATGAGAAAAATGGGCCTACTGCAAGCAGATGTGAGCAGGTGCTTCTGGAAGCTTCCTGATAAAAAGTGAAGCCGAACCCCATGCCCTGCACTAGTGAAGGGAAGGAGGATGGTCATAGGACCTGCAGGGATCCAGTCGAGGCTTGAAAAGTGTTGGGCATCAGGAAGCGTGGCAGGAGACATCCCCAGTCACCAGGCAGATTGGCCCACGAACCCGAGGCCAGGGAAAGAAGGGCAGCCTGTACAGAAGGGGCTGAGGTCCTGGAGAAAGAAAGGAGCCCTTAGGGCAACTCAGAGCCATGACTGTCTCCCTGGACTTCGGCTCTCTCCAGGGAGGGCCCCACACGGTGCCCCAAAACTCACCAGTTCGCAAACTGCGCAGACACTCAGCAAACGGTACACGGGGCCTGGCCGCCTGAGAGCCTGGCTCTGGCACAGAGAAATTTAGGCCGCAAGCTCCTGCACAGGATGGGGGCGGGGCCTAGAGCGGGGCGGGGCCTGGCGCGCGGGGGCGGAGTCAGGTTGCGGATGGTTGCTGAGCTATGGGCGTGTGGTCGGAGAGGGTAAAGCCTGCCTGGTACGCGGAGGCGTGGCTGGGAGCTGCCGGAAGAGGGGCGGGGAGTGTAGGGCGGGTTCTGGGCTGGCTGAGCACGCCGGTGGGTGACGCTGGGCTGCAGCTCTGTTTCCTCTCTGGGTGCATGCCCGTAGAGCAGGCATCTTCTTCCAGACCTGAAACCGGTTCTTTGCCTATCCTAGAGTTCACGCCGCATCAGGCTCTGGAGCCGGGCCGAACCTTCTCACCTCGACCTCACCACCCCAAGTCCCAGTTTTTTCGCTGAGACACAGTCACTAACTGACAACAGCGCGCAACCACAGGGTGGTGGAAGTTAAGCTCACTAGGAATTCGAGTCACTACCCAACTGGGCCAGGGCTGTCTTTCAGGTTCTTCTTGGCACTTGCAATCAGAATGGCTCAATAGCGGATCAGCTAGTGTGGGTATCCAGCTCTGATGTGAGGTGACAGGAATTGAATGTTGTCCACCAGGAAAGCCTTGCTGGAATTCTTCCTCTGTACCTCAGAATGGCTCTTATTAGAAAATACGCGGAGGTGACACTTGAAGATGAGGTCACTAGTTGGAAGGTCCTAATCTGATAGGACTGCTGTCCCTATGAACAGAAAACTAGAAGCCAGATACACTTGTGCACCAGATGCTGTGCAGGAGATGAAGACTACCAGCCTCCTGGAGTGTAAACAAATTTTCATTGTTTCAAGCCACTCACTTTGTGGTACTTGATTGGAGCCCCATGGTGTCTGACTTGATTGACATAAAGTCCTTAGGGAATGTTTTCACCCTAAAACTTGAGAGAGACATCTGTGTTAATAACTTCAGGGTACCATCCCAGGTGCACATATACTAAGAACCATACTGTGGTTTTGTTTGTTGAGATCTTCACCTTCCCAGTGTGCAGCTCTCCTGCCTGGATTTGGTCCTTCCAAGTACCCTGGTTCAGTGACCTGGAGGGACCAACATTCTACCTACCACCTTTATAGAGGTTTGTTGTATGATGAGCCCCAGTGACTCACAGAGGCCACCATTCACCCTTTGAAGCTTCCCCTCCTCACTTCCAGTGTCACCTCCTCCAGACATGCTAAGAGTAATTGCTGATAGAAGATGAACCAGACTCCTAGTACTATGGGATATTCAGATCAGGTCTCAGAATCTTTCTGAGTTGTGTACTCTCAACAACTTGCTTGGATGTGTAATTACCTTGGAGACACATATCTGGGCATGTCAGGGAGGGATTCCCAGAAGATAAACTGAAGAACCCCGCCCCCCCAATATTGGTGGTGCCATCTCTAAGAACTGAGGTCCCAAATTGAATGAGAAGGGAACAAAGGAGAAGATAAACAGAGCACCAGTGTTCAACCTCTCTGCATCCTAAGCAGCTAATACTGCTGCCATGCCTTCCCCTCAATGGTGAGCAGCATTTCCCTGAAATGAGAGCACTCCTCCCCAGCCCTTCCTCTCTTGACTTGATTTCTTTCAGGTATTTGGTTATAGTGATGAAGTAACTAGTACACCTCCTCAGCACTGTGCTCAGGCAGAGACAGGTAATTTTGCCCAGGGACAAGAGACATGAAACAGTTTATCCCGGGCCCTGCTCTTCCTTCTTGTTTATCTCAGGTCCTCAAGTTTATCTTTTGTACAGTAGTTTCATAAGAATCTATACTGTGCACATGTAGCCCATACTTGTGTATTGCATATGTCCATGGGATAGCAACAGACTACTGAGTAAGGATACCATTTGCCAGGCCCCATATAGCATGATGCTACCATGGCCCAATTGGAACAGGGATAATGGAACTGAAAATAAGGAATACCAAGATTAAATCAGAGTTTCTGTTGAGACCCCAGCAAGTACACTCTGGAGCAGATATAATTACTATAAGAATCGTAGCTTGTTACACCTGAGTGGCAGAACTGGAGAGATGGCTTAGAGGTTAAGAACACAGGCTAAGGCAAGACTTCCAGTGGAGGGGTGGGACTCTAACCCAAACGTAAAACTTTCAACCTACAATTTTCCCTGACTACAGTAAGCAAAGGTGGAAAAGACAGAGAGAGAGAGAGAGAGAGAGAGAGAGAGAGAGAGAGAGAGAGAGAGAGAGAGAAAACTGTGGGAGTGGCCAACCAATGACTGGTCCAGCTTGAGACTCATGCCACAAGAGTCTGTCCACCCCCCACCCCTGTCATTGCCTGGAGAGCCAGGAACCAGAGATCCAAATGAGAACCAAATAAGACTGGAAAGAGAAGGAAAAGAAGGAAAGAAAGAAAGAAAGAAAGAAAGAAAGAAAGAAAGAAAGAAGAGGAAAGGAGAAGAAATCAATGAAATGATCCCTAATTGTATTCTGATATACTTATAAACAGGAATCTAGCATAACCGTCATCAAAGAGGCTTCATCCGGCACCTGATGGAAACAGATGCAGAGATCCACAGTCAAACATCAGGCAGAGCTCAGGGAATCCTGCAGAAGAAGAGGAGGAGGGGTTGTAAGAACCAGAGGGGCCAAGGACACCAAAGAAAACCCACAGAACCAACTAACCTAGGTTCATAGAGACTCACAGACACTGAACTAATAACCAGGGAGCCTTAATGGATCTGACCCTCTGCATATATGTTATGGTTGTGCACCATGGTCTTCTAGTGTCACTCAGTGGGAATGGGGTCGGGGCTATCTCTGAGTATTTTGCCTGCTTTGGGGACCCTTTTCCTCCTACCCTGACCCAGTCTGTTTGGGTCAGTCAATAGGGTCTAGCAAGAGAGAGTGGGGATGGAGGAGCAAGAGATGCGAAGAATGGAGACAGACAGAGAGTCTGTTCAAGTCCTATTTATTGAAAGGAAATCCTGGGTATATATAAGCATAAGCAGGGGAATGCAGCTAAAGACACTTTACCATGTGCACCTTGCAGCTGGGGGCATTAAACAACAAAACAAGATATGTGAACAAAACAAGATGTTTATCAGAGTGTGCTCAGCTGTTGTGGGCTGCTGAAAACAAGTCTCTTGTCAGGGTATATGGCCTGAGATGGCTGCAAAGATGATAGCCGCTTTCTGCTAGGAGTCGGCTCCCAACACTACCCTTTGCCTCATCTAGCCTTAATATGAGAGGAGGTGCCACCTAGTCTTTTCTGAAGAGAAATGGAGTTGTGAATGGGGAGAGGGAATTGGAAGGGGAGGAGGAAGGGAAACTGCATTCAGGATGTGATTTATGAAAGTGGAATAAAAATTAACTAGGATAAAAGACTTAATATTAAGACAAAATTATTCTCCACAAGTGATGTACAAAGGTGATCAAATCTTAAGAAAGTAATAGATTGATATCCTTTTAGGATAAAAATCTATGTGTCTTAAAGTCCTACAAGAAAGTATTGTTTGAAGTTTTTCATAAAAAAGAGCAACAATAAACAGCATAAACAGAAAAAAATAAATTTAAAAAAACCACCAGCTACTCTGCCAGAGGACCTGGGTTCAATTCCCAGCACCCACATGACAGCCCAAAACTGCAGTAACTCTAGTTCCAAGGGATGCAATGGCTTCTTCTGGCTTCCACAGGCACCAGGCATACAAAGGTACACAGATATGCATAAACAAAACACCCACACACAATAAATAAATAAATAAATAAATAAATAAATAAATAAAATGTGGATTACATTTTAATAGGAATTTCTGAGTGTGGCCAGTCAAACTTTTCACTGCTGTAACAAGTGTCTCAGAAAAACACAGGGAGGAGCTACTGCTTCTGGCTCACAGTTTCCGTTCACCGTAGGCTGGCCTTGTTGTTTCTAGGCTGTGGTAAGTGGAGAGAATGTGACAGGCTAAGAACCAACAGCTTACCTCAGTTTGGATAGGAAATGAAAAGAAGAAAAAGGCAGAGAACAAGAGACATCTTTCCAGGGCACAGTCGCAGTGAACCTACTTCCCATACCTGCTTTCTGCTTACAAGCTCTTACTGCCTCTCAGAGATGCCATCAAATCGTGAATCTAGTGCAGGAGTGATGGCTCAATGGCTAAAGGTACTTGCCTCCAGACCTGAGTCCAGTTCCCAGGATTCACACAGAAGAGGGAGAAAGCCAACTCTCTTGAAGACAGTACTCCGACCTCCACACATGTGGAGTCATACATGTACACACAGAGACACACAGACACACACATGTACGCACGCATGCACACATACACCAAATGATCAAATGAAAAATATGAATCTATCAAGAGATTACTTCATTGATTAGGCCAGAGCTCTCATAATCCAATCACTTCTCAAAGGCTCATCAACTGGCAACCAACACCCAATGTGTGAGCCTGTGAGGACATTTCAGATTCAAATCGTATCTGAGAGTTGTTGGGGTTGGGGAAGAAGATGGAAATGAGGCTGGTCCTGAGATCTGAATCTCCACCCTTCCTAATTTGGATTGGAAAAGTCTCTATGATGGCCAACACCATCAAAGTAAACTATATTGGATTGAAAAGGGTGAGCAAGACAGACTGGGAACAGTGCTGTCACTCAGAGCAGGTCATGGGTCCTAGACCATGCATTAACTCTTCTTGCTTGAAAGGCAGTAAGGATCAGGAACTGAGAGGCAGGAGGAAGAAGGCATGTGTCTCTGACCAAGGACTAAGCCTACAGAAGTAAAGAATTCTAAAATAACTTCCTCGATTCTTCCACGAAGCAAACTAAAACCCAGTCTCTGTGTCCTGGCTGCAACAAGTACTTCTCCTTTCTGAAATCATTAAAACAAACAAAACTAACCAACCAACAGAACAAACAGAAAACAATCCATTCCCAACCAAGAGCTGTAGGCTTCTTTCCTGTATCCTTTTACCCAGGTGTCCTCATCAACTGCCCTTCCTATCACTAAAGGAGTATAGATGTCCCAGGTGGCGTGGTAGCCTGGTGGTAGGAACAGGA